AGTTCTATATATATTTAAAAGTTTATAGAAAAATATTAAGGTTTTGCTTAGTTATTTAAGAAAAACCTTTTAATTTTTCTAGCTTAGCATTTTTAAGGCGTTTGTTTATATAGAGCGTTTATTTATAAAGTACGTTATAAGGTATAATATACTATAGAGAATATATATATAAATTTTTATAGAAAAGTATTAAGGTTTTACTTAGTTATTTAAGAAAAACCTATTAATTTTTATTAATTTTTCTTGCTAAGAAATTATAGAGCGTTTAGTAGTATAAGGCTTTTAGTAGTAAAGTACGTTACTTTCTAATAGTTATACTTATAATTAAGCTATATTTTAAGCTTAGAATAGTATATAATAAAGTAGTTTAGCTAGTTCTTATCTATAACCTTTTCTTTCTACTTAGTAAGTAGCTTATTAGCTATATCTTAAATAGTAGTAAGCTAGAGAGTAAATTCTTACGCGTCTAGGTCTAGTATATACTTAACTATTGCCTGCTCTTTGTTTATAGTAAACTTTGTTTAATTAGATGTCTTTTTGCGTTGTAGAGCGATTTCGTCGCGTCAACCGCGGACTTTCTCCTACGGTACGTTATAGAGAGCTGCAGCGCGCTGCAAGCTTAGCTCTGGGTCCTGTTGAATAGCCTGGAGCGCAAGCTGTATCCGGGATTCGTCTGAAGTCGATTGGGCGTTTGTGGAGGGCTTCATGATAGAGATGGTGGCATTTAGTAGGGGCTTGGCATTTTTGGGGTGTTCGATGGTGTGGGGCTTTCGATAGTGAAGTACGTTAGTTATTTAAGAAATACCTGTTGATTTTTCTAGCTTAGCATTTTTGGGGCGTTCGGTGGTGTGGGGCGTTCGCAGGTAAAGTACGTTATATATTTACTGCACAGCTACTGCATTAGCTAATACTCTATCCAACACCTGCCTGACTTGCCCATGGAACACCTCCACCCCCCATTCAAGAATGCATGCCAGCGCGGCCACCAGCTCATTCGTATGGCGCTCAAGCGTGCTCCTCCAGGCTCCCAGGCACGTCATGTGATGCTTCACAACGTCGTCCTCGTCCACCACACGGTAATGGACCCAGAGTTCATGGATAACGCCCTCAGTTGTGACGCTGAAGACGATGCGCGGCCCATCGGCTGCAGGATCCGGATCCTGCTCTGCCAGTGACTCCAGCACCCTGATTGCACAGGTTCTGCCCCCAGCGGCCTGGTTCTGAGCGCCAATGAGGTTGCCGTTCGTCACCAGGCCCTTGCCCTCAATGATGAGGAAGGGGAATCGCATGTCGCCTTGCGTGGCATGCGGATCGCTGACGACGGTCTCCTTAGCCTGCCAGTACTCAAGCAGGCCTGCATGGGCGCGGCTGAAGGCCTCTCGAGAGATCCCAACGGTTATGTCTGGCTTTGGCGTCGTGAGCGTGCCGTCGAGCTCGCTGGCAGTGGAGGACTCGCTTGGTGCGGTGGACGCGGGCGGGCCGGCGAAGTTGAAGGCGCGGCCATCAGGCCGTATGCGTACGACGTCGGAATCAAGCGTGTTTGGTGTCGACTCAAACGATGCGCCCTGGGGAGGCTTCGCGGCGACGATGGGGTTGGGCGGCAGAGATGGCCAGGTGGAGGAGGGCAGGGCGAGGATGGGATTCGGAGGGGCCGGCTTGAGCGAGGCACGCCAGAGCTTGTCGCTGCAGCTGGCGCTGAGGACGCGGCACCAGGCGGGGATTCGCGCGAGCTTCTCGACTACGTCGCTGTAGAGGTGTGTCCGGTATTCGGGCTCGGAGCCTGGCTTGCCTGCTAGCAGGCGGCACTCGAACAGATACACAGCCGCGAGCTCCCTGACCCTGTCCGCCAGTTCCCTTGTCCTGGCGTTATTCTCCTCCTCAGCATTCTCGTTGTGTGTAGCGGTAGCGGCGTCGGCATGCGTGCGGGGGCTCGAGGGAGGAGCATGCGAGGGAGGATCAAGGATGTCGCGTAGATCGCTGGGGAGAAGCGCTTCGACGTCGGGCGGCAGAACGTGGATGACATCGACGAGTATGTTGGCAGGCTTCAGGACGATGTTGCGATACTGGGAGCTCTTCTTCGTCGGGCTGCAGGACCGCGGGCGCGCCCGCTGCGCCGTCTTCATGTCTCGCAGTCTCGAGCTCTCGGACATGGTGTCTGGCACCTCAGCTTCGCTGGCAGGGGGAGATTCGCAGGAATTGCAGGAATCGCTGCGAGGAGGGTTCGAGGCAACGCTGCAGGCCCAGGCGGAGATGGAGCGCGCGCGCTCTGCCCACTCAAGCCACTGCACGGGATCGAACGACTCGAGCGGGGTAGATGTGGAGGCGCGACGACAACGTTTGCGCGCTGTGCCATCTTCGCAGGCTGAGGCTGCACGCTTCATGATCAAATATACCAAAAGAGGTGAAGACGGCGGCGATGACGGTGATGCGGTGATAATGGTTGGGGTGGTTGCGCAGGCGGTGGTGTGTTTCATTTGGCGTTGCCGGGTGAACGCAGGTCACGGGAGCAGAGCGCTTGCGGCGGGGGAACTCCGGGAAGCTGAATGGATGTGCGCCAATCAGAGTGCGTCTCGTACCCTTTTCTAACGCGTGCAATCCCAATCCTCAATAGCCTCTCCAAACGTATCTCCAAACACCAAAGCCTAAACCGCCCAAGCGACCAGCATGACCGATAGTGGCGGTTTCATCAAAGTCCCCACTCCGGATGAGGAGGAGCAGATGAAGAAGGCGGCCGATGCCTCCAAGGAGCGTCGGGAGGCGACTAGGAAAAAGGAGGCAGAAGACATGGCGAAGAAGGCGGCTGAGGCATCCAAGGAGCGTAGGAAGAGTGGCGGCGGAGGAGGGTCCACCACGACTTAGAGACCGGCTTGTCTGGCCAAGGTATGCTGCGATACAAGTTCCAAGCAAGCTGGACGTGGCTGACAGATACCGAAGCTCCGCTCGCTTTCTTTCGCCATTATTCATGATTGGGACTCGGCTAGGAATGACTTCCGCACTCGTCTTTCTCTCCATTCTTGATTTCTTTGAGGAGTGGGGGGGCTTGGGTGCCTGATCTGGCAAGGGGAGGCGCTTGATTGTTTGACTTTCATTCTTTAGAGGGAAAACTGCTCATTTCGACGATTCCTCGGGAAACCGAGTGGCACATTCGGCCTCATATGCGCTCAGCTGCTCCATCTTTGTCCGTACCAAGCGCCCTGCCTCCGCCCGCGTCGCCGGGTCGAGCAAGGAGAGACCATCGCCATCTTCATGATCATGTAAGGCCTCCCAGTAGATGACGTCGACATCTAGGCACCTCCTTGCCGCATAATTGAACCAGAAACACCCGGTCCTCCACGAGTCACGCATCCGGGTGGAAAGACGCAGTTCCTCTGCCGGGCCTCCACCCCGGACCAATGACGACTTTGCTTCTACTCGTTCCAGCGCTCGTAGGAACTGCTCCATCCTGGGCACGTAACTGGCCAAGAAGTCGTCCATGCCGTCGTCTTCAATCCATATGCCCGGTCCCCTCAACAACAGCCACCATGGCGGGTCGTACGCGAACTGGGCCGGCATACTGTTCGTGAACTCGAAGTCGAGCATGGCGGTAATACGGAGGGTATCTGGGTCAATGAGCATGTTCGAGGGCTGCATGTCGTCGCAGAAGATCTTGAACGGCCCGGCGTTGTCAGTGCAGTACTTTGGGATGAGCTGCTTGAACCGCTGACGGGCGACGAACCGCCTCTGAGCGTCGGCCTCGTCGTCGGCAAGGTTTCGCTGGGTATCGAGGTGCAGGAGATGCTGGCGCGCCACCAACTCGAAGAAGTCACTCGCGAGATCTAACGGTGCAGTGTGAAACTGGTCCACGGGGTAGCCTGTGCTGGTCGCCAATATGTTCATGTCAAATGTCAGGGGCCTCCCAGTAACAGTCCATGTCCCCGATTCGCCGTCATCCTTGGAGATGGCGCCGATACGGGAGAATGCGAGACAAGACATTTGAAGCATGTAATCAGCGATTTGCTCGTAGACCTTGTCGAGCGTTGCCTCGTTCAGATCTGGGTTCAGGATCGCTGCCTCGTATTCGTCGTCAGTCGGCCGCCTGAGGAAAGTCGACAGACGAGTCCCCCGGACGAAGTCCATGATGATAAATGGCCCCAACTGCTGCGGGCTCTCCTCCACTGATCCCCAGCAGTGTATGTGGGGTAGAGGAATGGAGGTGTTCTCGCGGAGATACTCTATGAATCGCACCTCGTTCGCGACCTTTTCGGCCCTCCATGGCGTTACCGACTCGCCCGGCATTGCGAAGCGGATGAGAACGCTTGGTCGTCGATCGCCGAAGTCGATGTGGTAGCTAAGGTTGAAAGATCCCTTGAAGAAGCCCTTGTACGTCCCGGCTCCACCGCCATTCAGGCGAGCATCTACAAAGGCCACAACTTCGTCCTTTGCGTCGATAAGCTTGCGTATCCAAGCCCGGCACTCCTCCTCGGCATCGGCCTCGACGATTCGGTCGTATCCTGTCATTGTCGTTCCGTGCTCGGCCAAAGAGCGGAAGCAGCACCGGGGCAAAGGCTGTTGCCGGGGCAAGGGCAGTCAGTTCACAGATGCAATCGCAGGCAGTCGGAAGCATCCACGGCGTGCGGCGTTGGGAGGGTGATGGTCGGAAGTTTGGGTTGGGAAGCGGAATGGAAATTGCACGATGGAAGAGCGCCACATGCACGAAGTCCACCGAGGTGATTCCGAAGAATAGCCGGGAAAAGGCCCAATCCCGGCTCGCGGTTACCCAAGGGTCCCGGCAAATCATTCACCCGCAATGTTCACTACGAAGTGAAAGAGAGGAATAAGCGGTCGGCGAAGATTCTGCCCATCAATTCTCCCGATACAACTCCACAGAAGCGGATCTTGGAGAGATTCAGGAACAATCCCGAGGCGTTCTGGCAACCCCCCGTCGACGATACCCACGCACAACTGGGCCGACGGCTCTCTTGTGTGACGATATATCTCCTGTCCAAATCGGACGATAAATCCGCCGCTCCGTCTGGTATCACCACGTTCATTCAAGGACCTATCGGTGATACAGAGCGCTACGCAGGGAAGAGGTATATTGATATTGCACGTCAACTGGGTGGCATCGGGGCGGTGTTCTGCCTTCCGTTGGAGATACCATACTCGACGTCAGTGTTCTTCCCCTACACACTACCCAGTACTGACATCAAGCCAGATACGAGAGATATCTTACCAAGACAGATCAAGATGTTCTCCATCACCTCATCCTCAGACTGCAAGACGAATTCAAGAGCTACAAGGACTTTGTGCAAAACCTGATTATAAGTCAGCTCCAAGGCTAGTATCTTGGAACCCTCATTTTGGACTTTGGCTGAACAATTGCTTAGGTACTTTGCAGTCTTCGTACCTCGATCTCTCCGTAGACTTCGGAGACGTGCTCCCGGATTCAGACCACATGCTCCTGCTCATCCACGCTCTTGGCAGCTCCGACGTCCCCGATCTCCTACTCAGGAGCACATGTCAGCCGCAACGGCGATGGAACGACGACGGCCATATTCAAAAAGTCGAGGCTCTTGAGTTTGGCCTCGATCCAGAGCTTGTGCGTCTATTGTCTGATGACAACCGCCGCGGCCAAGCCATTGCGCAGCCTGGTATTTTGTAAAAGCGGTTGTTGAAAGATGGCACGGCCACTTGGTCTCTTGGCTCTGAATTGAGTCTCGCTCTCTCTAACTCCTTGTCTCATGAGACAGTGGCAAAGTGGAAAGCCTCAGCCCTGAGGTTGATTTGCTTTGCTTGTCCTCCGAACTACGAAGATACTCTCCCGTGGTATGCTCCATCGATTGAGCGATTTAGAGCAGCACTCACATCAGCTTCACAGGTCAACGGAATCCAGGAAGGCCCTGTGGGCACTGGTGGACGAGTTAACATGTCAGGAGACAACATCCTTGCCTCTCAGAAACCATGTGCTAGAGGCACTCTTACTTTTCGCCGAGAACGGTCCTCTGGATGTCCGTCGTATCGCGGCCGAACGAGCCGGCATGCTGCTACGCAAGGCCACACCGGATCACCTCCATGCTTCGGTCGCGCTTTTTCAGAGCATTATATGTCGCCTACATGGTGACTTCACTGATTCAGATGACAAGATACAAACCTATCTCAAGCGAAATTCACAGCCCGACACGTAGAGACTACGCTCTAGCGGGAAGGCTCCATCTCTCTCGAGTTGAGAACATGATTCAACGCCACGATCGAGGCATTGCCAAAGTTATGTTCAAGTGGGAGCCGTTAAAGCCGCTGTCGCCTCTCGAGAGCGATACCAACCGCAGGCTCCTACTGGCTACGGCCAAGTTCTTTCAGTCCATAGGCAAATTTGCAACAGCGCGGGACTCACTACGGAAATGCCAGGAGTTGCCGTCTACTAAGGATCGGCCGCTTATTGTCAGCAGGCTTGCAGACATATACTGCGAGCTTGATGAGTATGGAAAAGCACATGCGATTGCTGAGTCCGAGATAGACATCATGAAAAGGCATAGAAAGCAAGGCCGGCTACTGAGGCGTCTAGGCCTTTCGTCCGTTGAGGCCGACATTGGACAAGGCCGGCTGGAGACGGCAGAAAGATCACTTGAGGAGTTGGTCAATGTTGAGACCAAACATCGACTGGATATTAACGACCAGCTGCTCCGCGTTCGCGCTCTCATGGCCCGAGCGCGCATTTCCCATTATCAAGGTCAGTACGTCGAAGCTCTTGGGCGATGGAGAATGGCTTTGCATGATGCACGACAGCACGCCAGCTTCAAGAACGGCCGTGGTTTCACCACAGCCATTATTTATCTTTCCATTGCTCATGCTCAACTCAAAACCGGGGATAGACAAGGCGGAAGACAGTCGTGGGAATTTGCAGTGGGGATACTGAGGAACGAAAGGTGTGACTACTGGATTCCAACTGTTGCCACAAAATGGTTTTCGAGGATCGTCAACGAAGTTCGCGACTTGCAGGGCTGGCCGGTGTGTATCATGGCACCAGATGATCTGGAATGCAATCATGTGCAGTAGCGAAGCGGTGTGACGTCATACTGCGTCTAGGAGGGCTGTAATTGGTTTGGTCCAGATATGATTGCACTTAAAAGCATGGGCGAGCCCTGTTCCTCCCTCCCCGCCGTTGTTCCAACCGTCTCTTTGTACTTCCATGCTATTAGGCACCCAAGCAATGGCCACACCACGCGACTCAGTCCTGTCGCAGCTTCGAGTATCAGATGGCGAAGATGCAGAGACGCTGAAGAAAGATGTAGACCCTTTGGTTTCCTTTGGCTGGAAGATTGACAATGAAGGAATGGGTCTTGAGGCATCCTTCAACTTTCCGACTTTTGCAAAAGCTGCTGTGAGAATAGTCCCCGCCTTTCAGAGGCCTGCTAACATTAGGATAGGATTTCATGACGCTTGTCTTCATCCAATCCAAGATCTCAAATCACCATTCTGAGACCTACAACGTATGACCCACTCCCTTGAACAGATAATAGAGGCTAATCATCATTAGATGTATAGGACGGTGTATCTCCATTGGACTACCCATAAACCTCGCGGTTTGTCGTTAAAAGATGCCAGAATGGCCCGATTCTGTCACGAGCAAGCAATTTCACTGGGAGGGCAATATACGGACGACATCGACACCTGGCGGAAGGGCTGTGTGGCATGCGAAAATCCAAAAACGTAATAAACTTCTAAGAGCAAATTGTGGTTTATCGAGATTTAGGTCTGCGAGATCCATCTAGTAGGTAGTTCGTGAATCGAAGAGAAATAAAGGTGTCAACTTTTCCATCTCATTGTAACGACCCAAGTCGCGGCCTAACTCGAAACACCTGTCAGCTGCACGAAACGGAACAAGCGGGCTCCAATGCAGGGTCTGGAGACGAGTGGGAGAGAGGTTTGGATTTGCAGATCAACCCCTCAAATCCCCGCACCGGATAAAACCCGCGCCGATACCGAGTCGTCCCTTGCTGTGAGGGAAGAGCTGGAGCGTCTCCGCCGACAGGAAGGTAAGGTTCCTCAAGCACCTAGACATACTCAAACGGATCCTAGAGGAAGAGGACAAAGCATCGCCGGCGGGATCATAACGAAAAAGGTGGCGCATCGCAAGGAGCACGACAACATAGAAGAATGGGCCAAGGCTACACAGGACGACATGAGAGCGGGAAAGATAACCGTCATGAATCTTGTTAATAGGATTGAGGCACGATTTCGGACTCCGAACCTCGAGCTCCAATAACTATTAACCTCAAGTACGCTGGTGAATGGGTTAGGGGTACCCCGAGGTTGAGTTGAGTGTTACGATCAGAGGATCGATAACAGGGTTGGCCAGCCGGGACGGAGGAAACGGCAGGCCAAGCCCGAAGTCACGAGACAGGGGATCACGTGCAGAGTCACGGGAATGATCAGGGACACGTGACGTGGATCAGATGAATTAGACAGAGCAAGGTAGATTAGGTCTAATTTACAAGAGCTAGGTCTTAGCATCTAATCTAGCCAAGATAGTATATATATATAACTAGAAGAAGCTTACTTCTTATAGCTTCTTATAGTTATTACTTTATCTATTAAATTACTACTATAACTTATAATTTATAGTATTATTACGTCTACCTTTTTATTACTAAAGATTCTAGTCTAAAGTATACCTTTTACCTTCTCTTATAAACGTAAGCCTTAGTCTTAGTTAAGAGAATAGCTTATAATAAAATAACTATCTAATATTAAAGAGTAGAATAACTATATTAATAGTTAGAACCTAGTTAGAAAAGACTTAAGCCTAGAAGCTAACTATAAAGAAATAAATTATAGAGCTCTAATAGGTTATTATAGTACTCTAGAAGATAGGTATCTAGTAGGTAGAAGAGCTAGCCGTAGTAAAACGCTAGGCCTAGGCTAAGATCGCTCTACTCTAACGCTTTAATAGTAAAAGAGAGAACCTTAACGTATTTCTAGTAGCTATAGAACTCTATCTATAGTATAACGCTATAGTATTTCTATAGAATAAAGATAAGATTCTAGAAGCTATAATAAATATAAAAGAAGAAGCTTTTACGTAGGCTAAACTCTATATATTAGACTAGTTAGAAAATAAGAGTAATATAAAGAGAACGTAGTAGTTTATAAATAGAATTTTTAAAAGCTAGACTAGGTTTATAAAATATCTTAGAGAAACGTTTAGAAAGGTTAATATATATAAAATAGTATAGAAAAAGTTATTTTAACTATACTAAACTAGATTAGCATTCTAGTACATAGTAATATTTAGATAGCTAAGTACTTATCTAGACTAGAATAATCTTATACTAGTAGAACTCTTCTATAAAGAACTAAAGAAGTTAGTTAAAGATAATATTACGCACGCTAAATAACTAGAAAATCTAAGTAATACTATAGAGATAGTAGTAAAAATTAATAACTAATAATATAAATAAAACCTAGAATACTAGTAGAGTAGAAGCTACTCTAAGCTAGTAATAGTTAGAACTAGACAACTATAGACTATATTCTAAGGCGACTCTATAGACTTAGACTAGGTTAAAGCTCTATAGAAGAGAAAATAAACTCTAAAGAATAAAGAAAAGATATAATACTTTAAGAAAGAACTATACCTAACCTATAGCAAAAAAGAATACTTTATATAAGAATACCTAAAAAGAAAGAAAATAATTAAAATAATCTAGACTAACTATAATAGCCTATTATAGATAGTATACTATAATAATAGTTATATAATATACTAGAGAAATAAGGTTAACTTAGAATAGTATCTAGCTAGAGTATAAGCTATTATACTAGAGTACTCTACGTATATAGAATACCTTACTCTAGATATAATCTAATAACGTATTAATATATAATAGTACTAGATATACGTAGAATTCTATAACGTATAAAACTATTAATACGTATACTAGAATATTCTATTTACTAATAAAGAATTCTAGAAGGTACTAGATACTCTTAAGAAGATAACTAAATTAGTAGAATACCTTATAGATAAAGAAGTATATTTATATATTTAGAAAATATACTAGAGCTTCTCTATAAACTATTCTAGAGCTAGAAAAGCTAAATAATAGTAGCTAAAGTACGTAGAAAAAGATAAATACTAAGACCTCTTCTATAAGGTACACCTAACTAAACTATCTTAAAGAAAGAAACTTCTAAGGCTATTTCTATATAACTAGAAAATTAAAGTATATCTATAATAGAAACTATACTAGCTATATAAAGGTAACTACCTAGAATATAACTATATCTATTAGGTCTACCTCTTAATAATTTATAGTAGAGAAGAAAAGATAGTAGTTAAGATAGCTACTAGTACCTAGAGACTAGATAATAAGAAAATCTAAGTAACTGTATATATAAATTTATACTCTAAGAAGAAAGCTAGTAGAATAGTAATGCTAGAACTAGTTAAGAAGGTTTATAGCAAAGTATACTACGCTAAACTCTAGAATTAGTACGCTATAGAATACTAGTACTATAGAGAATAGTACTAGACTATAGAATAGATAGCTAATTACTCTAACTACTATATACTTAATTATAGATAGTATTTTTTAGAATAGAGATACCTATATTATAGTTAGAGAGCTAAGAATAAATATATATAACTCTATTAGACTATATACTTACTTAAATAATATCTAGTATATATAGTAGAAAAGAAATAAAAGTTAATACTAGCTACCTTCTTAAAATTAAAAAACTAGAAGAGCTCTAAGAAAAAGGTCTATTCTAGAAGAGCTCTACTTAGACTATAGATAAGATTATTACTCTAAAACCTAGAACGCTGCGCGTTAAAGCTATACTAGAGAATAAAAAACTTATAGTCTATATAGATAGTAAAGTAGTAAGAACGTATATTTTAGCTAGCCTAGTAAAACTATAAAATATACTATTTTAAGAAAAATAATAGCTATACTAAGTATAACTTATAGATAACTAGCTATCTATCTTTAGCTAAGAATAGATTTACTTAGAAACTAAAGTATAGATATTAGATATCTAGAGAATATAGAAATAATAATTCTATAATATTATAGAACTAGAAAATATAAACGTACTTCTAGAGCTAGATTAGCTATAAAGATATAACTCTAATATTAGTTAGATTAGGCTAGAACTCTAAGAAAGGCCTAAAGTAGTATAGAAGGCTAGAGTAAGATACTACCTAAGAGCTTACTAAAAGCTAGAGGTAAAGATTAGAAGAATATCTCTTATAGGTTTAACAAAATACGTAAAGAAATAATCTTAAGACGTTAGCGTTATATAGATATAAAAGCTATAATTTAATATAAAGTAACTATCTTAAGAAATTAAAAAGAACTATAAGAAGTTTACGTTATTATTTAATAGATAGAATAATAATATTCTACCTAAACATAAACTATAGAACTATAAGATACCTATAGAAAATAAAGCTACGCTAAAGCTAGAACTAATATATCTACTTAGCTATAAGTAAAAAAAGAAATTCTAAAGATATCTAGAAAGACTCTTATATAAAGAATATATCTAAGAAAGCTAAAGTCTAATAATCTTACTAGTACTATTTATACTAAAGAAGAATAAATAGTTAAGACTATATATTAACTATTATTAACTTAACTAGGTAACTTAAAAGAATTATTATCTATAATCTATAATCTTAGAACTTATAAACTAGCTTATAGAAGTATAGTAGTTTATAAAGTTTAATATCTAAGAAGAATACTATTAGATATAGATAAAAGAAGAGTATAAGTAGAAAATAGTTTTTAGAACTAGAGAAGGTCTATATAAATATCTAGTTATACTATTTAGACTTACTAATATACTAGTAACATTCTAGAGTATAATTAATATAGCTCTATATAAATATATAGAAAGGTTTACTATAGTTTACCTAGATAATATACTTATATACTTAAAGAAAAAACTAGAAGAATATAAGAACTATATATAAAAAATACTATAGAAGTTTAAGAAATATAGGCTTCTAATAGCTTCTAATAAGAGTAAGTTTTATTATATAGAAATAAGTTACCTAGAATTCTACCTAACCTAATAGAGAATTTAGATAGAGGCGAATAAGGTCTAGGTAGTTCTAGACTAGCCTATACTCTAAATAGTAAAAGAAGTATAATTCTTTCTAGAATTTATAAACTACTACTAAAAGTTTATCTAAAAGTATTTATAAATTACTATATCTCTTATAGAAGTTACTAAAAAAAACTAAGAGTTTAGGTAGAAAGGCCTATAATAGCAAGCGTTTAAGACGCTAAAATAAACGTTTACTACTATACTACTACTATAAATATTTAATAAAAATAAACTAATATAAGTTAAGATAAATATATTAGACTAAGCTCTAGAGGTATACCTTAGCTAACCTAGAGAAGATAGTAAGTATTAACTATACTTCTTCTACTTAAGAAAGTTTTTAGTACTAGAACTTAACTATAATATGTATAATAAGAAACTTATAGCTATTATAGTAGTAATAAAAGAATAAAGAATATACTTAGAAGGCGCTAAGTACTCTATTAATATAATATTAGACTATAAAAATCTTATAGCATTTATAATAATAAAGACGCTAAACTAATAATAAGTTAGATAGATAGAAACGCTAGCTACACTAGACTTTATAATCTAATACTAAAAGAGTACTAAAAATAAAGTAGTAGATATACTTAGCTATAGAGCTAACTATATAGATACTATAAAAGAGAAATATAAAGCTATACTTTATATAAAACTAGATAAAACTCTAGAATATAATAGACTA